GGGGCAAATGGAGCACGTGTAAGGACCTTATCGCCCTCTGCACTGCCTGGCAGGAGGGGGTAGTGAGGGGGGGGGTTGGTCACTTCTCCCTGGTAATGGGCAATAGGACGAGGGGAAATGGCCTCAAGTTGTGCCAGGGCAGGGTTAGGTTGGACATTAGGAAAACTTTTTTCCCTGAAAGGGCTGTCAAGCACTGGAAGGGGCTGCCCAGGGAAGGGGTCGAGTCCCCATCCCTGGGGGGATTTAAAAGCCGGGCAGACGAGGTGCTTAGGGCCAGGGTTTAGTGGTGGGATGGCAGGGTTAGGGGAATGGTTGGGCTTGATGATCTCAAAGGTCTTTTCCAACCTAAATGATTCTGTGATTCTGTGACCAGGACAGCAATAGATACAAACCCAACTTAGATCTGTGCTGTTGCTGAACTGAATCATAGGGTAAATGAATGAGATAAAGAGAAGCTGCTTCTGTGAGAGGGGAAATCAAGCTTTTACAATGCTCATTAAAAGTTAAATTTAAGGATGAATAAAGACACTTTGGATATTTAATCAGATATTATTTCTGGATATAACTACTGCAGATAAATCCCCGACCTTTCCTGATCCAGAGCTCAGCAATGACTGGAAGAGCTTGGGACTTCCATCTGCAAGGACCGCTCCTGTTCCTTACCTCTGCTATGGCCAAGCCCTGCGGAAGGCCCAGTCCTAACCTCTTCCTTAGTGGTGGAGCGGTGGGCTCCGCAGGGGGAGGACACACGTTTGTAGGTGTCTTCTGCTCAAGTTCAAGCATGTGAGGGACGGAGGGAAAACTCCTGATTTACAGAATGGGTTGGCACTTCAAGTGCATGGCAGAAATGGTGATCTGTGTTGGCTGGACAACGCCGTGCAGGGATACCAAAAGATCAGGGATAGGGCCAGTACTAAGCCAAGGCTAATAAGGCCTGCTTAGCTGGGTTTGCCTGTACAAAAGGGTTTCTACACCGCTGCTTCTTGCTTGTACCCTTGTGCTTGTGTTTATCAGTGGTCAGCGGTATGGTAGGCTGTGCCCCACTGATTGATGGCACATGGATTCTGTGCTGCATCCATGCTTGGAGAGTGGTTGGGAGTGGTGCTGGAGAGCCCTCCAGGTGCCTCGCAAAAGGCTCTGGAGCTTCTGGATATTAGCACATTCTATGGCACAGGCATCCTGCAACTTGTCTGCTTATGTTGGCTCAGCACTTCAGTATGCTTGCCCAGAAAAATATGGTAGAGCTGTTTTACTGTTTCAGGTTCTTGTGCCATTCATCACGCAAGAAACACCACCAGCAGAGGACTCAAACCAAGCGATTAGTAAAGGACTGCACCGTGCAAGCCATAGGCAGCCAGCGAGCTGGCAGCAGTGAATCTGTGTTTCAATAAGTGATGCGAACAGGGGGAATGCAAAGGAATAAAATTGCGTGTGCCTTGCTGTGGTCCTGGGCTCTGATCCCTTCCTGCTGTGGTCTCGATAAAATGCAGTTTTGTGTCTCTTGCAACACAGCATTCCCGCAAGCCTGTGCAGATGTAAAGTCATCTGCTTTTGAGCTAACGCTACACCTTTTCTGCCGTCTGGAGTTCAATGTCTTAAGCTGTGCTGTAGGCAGCCGCGCTGTACGATCCTCTGCCAGGCGCTGCTGGGAAAATCCCGCACCTTCCGCCTGGCAGCCGGGGAGCGGAGCGGGTCGGTGGCTCTGGCCCAGTCCCTGGTGATGCTCCTGCTGCCTCGTGGGGGCAGGATGGTGATGGGATGGGGGTGGGATGGCGATGGGATGGCGGCGGCATGGTGATGGGATGGCACCAGGGGCAGATGCATCCCCACCAGCTCGGGGGGCCGCCGGGGCGAAAGGCCGGCAGCGGAGGTTTGGCTCCAGGGGGCAGGAGGGAGGGGGGCAGGCTGCGTGCCCTGCCTCCCGCGGCCTCTGCCCAGGGATGCTCTTCCCAGCCCTGGAGCCCAGGGTGGCACCCTTCTCTGTGGGGCTTCTGCCATGTGGAAGTTTTCCCAAACCTTTATCTGGGAGGAAGTAACGCTCCTTAACAAATAGCTGGCTGCGGGCAGCGTTTGCCATGCAGCGGCAGCAAGCTGACTCAGGGATGAATTCTTCCAGCAGGTATTTGGCTCCGCATATTAGTAATTCCTTGAAATTAAATGTGAAAACCTGCAATGGCATGAGTTAATTGAGTTTTACATTCCATTAACTCAAACATTTTAGATCTTACTCTCAGGCAGAATCAGCTGCCTTCAGGACATCCTAATTTGCACCAAATAAATATTTCATTTGTGCTAATAAAAGAAGGGGCTGTTCTTGAACTGTGCGCGTCTGCGTAGAGTGAGGGTAAGTGGGATGTAGTGTGGTGTGTTCATGAGACAATATTGGTTAGCCGGGCTTTTGCAGTGCCGGGGGGCAGGGGTCTCTGCCTCGGGTGTGGTGCAGGCAGGGTGCAAGCGTCGCTGGGGGGCCGGGGTTGACGCTGGCTGGCTCCCCAGGGACAGGTCCCCTCCTGCTGGGCACAAGAGACACTTGGGACAGAGATTTGACCCGAAATTTGTTCCCATCTCCCATTCCCTATTGCTCTTCCACCACCACATGCCGTCAGCTCTCTCCTCTTTGTGTTATGTTTTTACTTCCATGCTTTCACCTTTCTTTTGATTCTTTACTCCATTTTCCTTCATAGAAAGCTGTTGTTGCTCACAGTCATCTCCTGCTTCTCTCTTCCACTCGTTTCTTTCCCAGTTCTCCTTTTACAGTCACGTCTTAATGCTCTAACCTGTCATATGGCTTATCCTGGAAAAAAACCTGCATTTGCACAAAACCACCTCAAAAGCCCCAAGAAGAAACCCAAGGCACTGATGGCCCCCGCCCTGCTGCCCCGGGCAAAGCCTGGGAGGGTCAGTCCCATACCCCAGACATGCAGGTATGGGGTGATGGAGATGGCCTGGAGGTGAAGGCATCTCTCCAGCACATAGATGCTTGGATAGCTGGGTGGAGAGCTGAAAGGATTTATAGGAATTACCTGGGACTCATCAAGCAGGCTGCCTCATGTGCCGTTTTCAAGGATTTGTTATGTCATACGTGATGCTCTTTTTTTCCAGGCAACCTGTTGTCAAAGGCAAAGGTCTCTTCGGGTCATCTCACCTTCATCCTAAATTAATATTTTGACCAACTGCAGACGTAAATGTCTGACATAGCCCAGGGCTCTGCTGCTCAGCAGGCGTGGGAGGTGCCGGATCAGAGGGATGCGGAGGCTGCAATGACTGATTAGTGTTCTGCGCTCGCCTGGGTTACACCTGGTACAAGCCACTGTACTTGTGCCTTTCCTTCAGGAACACCTAATTTATCTCCTTCTCCTTCCTCCCCCCCTCGTTTGAGCAGTGGCACAGCATCGCTGTGAATGTCAGCGACGGCTGCGGGATGAGCACTGTGCTCAGCATGAAGCCATCCCTCTGCTAGGTGTTTATCGCTTCTCTCTTCTCTTCCCTTTCAGCTGCCCAGTTGGATAATATCGGCTTCAGCATTATCAAGAAATGCATACATGCTGTCGAAACACGAGGTAGAGCAGTTCACCAGATGGTCTTGTTTTGGGGGGACGGCCTTGCAGCTGTTTGTAGCATAGCGGTTGCTTACCTGCTCTTTTCATGAGCAAAAATGATTCATTAACCCTTGGAGACCCGCGTTAGATAAACCCTGTACCACGCTCAGGCAGCTGCCTTTGCTGAGACATGCATTTGCCCTGTGGCTGGGGTTAGCAGGGGTTCAGCAAACAGCAGGGGCAGAGTTAGGAAATAACATGCTGGACGTGCAAAACGGGGGAAGAGACCGAAGCCGGGGACTTCGTTTGAGCATCCCTTCACGTGGTACCACTGCAAAGCATTTCCCCTCTTGTGGGACAACAAGTAGATCTGCCTCTCAATCCTTCCCCTAAACTTCTTGCAAAGACTGTTTGTATAGAGAGGGGCTATCTTGTTAGCCTCTGGATGGTATCAAAACCAAATTTTACACTCTTGAATAATTTTGTATGTAGTCGGTGAGAGGGTTTAATTATTTTTTCTATTAGAGAAGCCAAAGAAATGAAAGAAATGTTAGTAGCAATTTTGACATTCTCCTAATAAGCTCTTTATTTTTCCTAGGGATCAATGAGCAAGGGCTCTACCGAATCGTTGGAGTAAACTCTAGAGTTCAAAAGCTGTTGAGTATATTAATGGGTAAGTATCTCGCGTTTTGTTAAAGGCAAGTAGATATTGCTGCTTTGAAGTCTTGCCAGCCGAGAACGGGGGCTCTTGTTGGGGTACCTAATTGTGGTGAATGTGCTCTTAGGGCCACACGCTGTTAGAGGCCAGGAGGTCCCGGGGCACCACTGGCAGGTTACTAAGGTAGGACTCACGTAGGACATTGCTTTAAAAGGTCTTCTGGTGCAGTCACTGGTGTCCTGCTCACACATGCTATGAATTTTGGCAGCCTTCCCAAATGCAAACTAAAATCTTCAAAGAAGTAGCTGAGAGCTTTGGTTTTTAATCTCATACCTGCCACGTTGTTCCCAGAATACTTTTTAATTATTTTCTCTTGTGTGTTGCATGCTGCCTGTGGCTCTTCTTACTTTCCCCTTGGACCTTCTTATGCCTGTTTTAACACGGTCTAGCCCAGACCTTTCAAGCATGCCTTTCCCTCATGCCCGAGGTGTCGGGTCCCGCGGTTCTGGGTGCTTGGGAGGAGAGAAGGTGTCGGGTCACACCACGGCAGAGCTTGGTGTTGACATCGTGGGGCTCCTTTGAGCACTGGCCGCGGTGTGCAGCCCCCCTGCAGCTGCCCAGCAGCCCTCAGAAACCTCTCCCCACCTCCGAGATGACAGGATGGCAAGAGAGAGGCTGTTGGGTTTGCTATGAGGACCTTTGTGCTCCGAACTGGCATACCCGTGGGCCTGATCTGAGCACTGAAATGTGTGGGAACAAACAGGTCTTGTGATTGCCAGTGAGCTGGTCCTTGTTCCTGGTGCAGGGCTGGGACCAGTACGGCTGACTTTTCCTGGAGCGGTTCCTTGTTGGTGGTGTTGGGTTTCCATTGCCCTGTAGACCCTATGTTGGATCGTGCTTGTTGGTCTGCACTGGTGAATCTGTAGCCTGACTCCCAGCCCAGCCTCTGGGCTATAGCCCAGGGGTTATGCTTGACCCAAAAAGAAGTGTGAGACGTTCCCCTCTTTGGTCTTTTCGCTCCCTTCCCAGGCCTTGGCCCCTCCAGCAGAACCACCCCTGCTCCCTGTGCCCTGGTCTGTGGTCCAGGCTGGTGCTGAGGTTGCCTACGGCTCTGTGTGACCAAAGAGACCGTTTCATCCCCTGAACTAGCAGGCAGCATTTCCACCCCTGAGCTGCAGCCCTGCGGGAGTCTGTCCGTCCAGCCGGGTGTGAGACACACGTTTGAAGAACCGTTTTGAGAAAAAACACACTTGGGTTGGAGCAGCGGCAGCTGCCCTCTGCCAGCCCCGCCGAATGCTTCTCACACTTGGCAAACCCCGTATGAAATAGGTGTAGTAATGAGGAAACAAATGCTAAATAATTTGTTAGTGCCCTTATGAATGTGTTTGCTGCTCCCTGTGGGAAATGAGTGACTTTTGTGGTCTTCTTCCTCTCTCCGCTCGGTTATTAGCATTCCTTTGCAATGGGACTTCTTTTTCCTTGCCTTCGCAAAATGCCAGCGCTCCTTCCTCTGTGTATTTCTCCTTGCAAAAAGTTTTAGTCCTTTGTGTTCCACTTTCAACATCTTTCCTTCTCCTCTCCCAATTCCTCCTCCTTCTCCCACTGTTAAGAGGTTCACTGAGCAAAGCCCATGGTGGCCGTTACAGTTGTCAGCGTTAACCTATGCAAAATTGATAATCCAGGAATAATGAGGAAACAGAAGGGTAAGGCTCTAAATCTGAGGCTGACGCAAGGGGACCTCTCTGCACCAGTTTTGCTCTGGCATTTGGAAAGTTCGCTGCAGTCACAAGAGCTGGTGGCTGACTCTTTTATTAGCAGAAGTTTGGCGTAGGTTCCGGGGCATGTGAATATGTCCCGCTAGCCACCCAAGTACGGCAGCTGAAACAGCGGCGGGCTCCGGCGCA